TGTCAGTCCCTAGTACAGACGGATTTTGGCGAGTCCATGGGAGCTGACTATGCAGGGTCGTGAGGCCTACATGCATGGACGAATTTATAGAGAGGCCGCAGCGAACGCTTCTTTGAGCCTGCAGGAAAAATATATCATATTTCATGTATTTCATTTATTATATATATATATTTATCATATTTCATATATATATATATGCATATCTATATCAGTGGCTATATTGTAGGAGAATGATGGGATCATATGGGATCATAATGTGGTAATCCTCCATTTACCCTCTGGTAATTTATATAACAGTTTGCCCTGGAATTTATGATGGATCATGGTCCTTTTCTGACTTGTACCTATAAAAAATCGGGTGATTTTAACTCTGTGACATGATCGGAGGGTAACCATTCTTCATGGGCCATGGCCCATGAGAATTTCGGGATTTGACTTTCTCAAAGTGAGATTTTGACCCGAGACTATTTGCCTAATTATATATATATATAGGGATTGAACACAAGCTGAACTGGGATCCCAACTCATTGGTGCTTTGACTGTCGGGATTTTAGTTGGGGATCTAATGGTTTATTGCTTGGCTCAAAAGTATCAAGCCCAAAAAGTGGATGGATACCAACAGCAATTTTTTCATGGGTCCCAAAATGGCACCCCATTTTGAGCCATAGCCATTGCTCCTATCACCCGAATATCGAAAGCGACGTTATAAAAGGGTCCCAGTTTTCACATGAAGCTCGACATGAATTGGATGACTAGTGAATTGATCACGGCCGCCGACCATTTTTTGATGAATCCATCATCTGGAATTCACTTGGTTTCGTACACTTCTTATTCATGCCTAGGGTCTTGGTTTCGAAAGCTGGATTTTCCCAGTTTTTTGTTTCTCCGAGTCTTGCGAATGTCAGAATCTGAAAAACAGCCCCAAGAATGGAGCCCACTGATCCAGTACCTTCCACCATCTGAGTTTTTTTTTCAGGGGCAAGGGATGAACGATTCTTCACCGGCCTATATGTTCATGATTTAACCACTGGTTGGTGGTGACTGGAACCATGGAATTTTCCTGGTTAATCTATGGTTAATCTATGGTTATTAATTGTGTTAACTTTCGTAATTCCTTGCTGCTAAGGTATTAGGGTTGTATATAAGCCATGCGGGTATGGCAGAAGGGCTTGTGAGGAAAGATATGAACGCTACTCTGATTTGAAGGAATTGAAATAAAACCGGGACCACGTGCATGAGCATGTGCTTCGAAAATCAGCATGGTGGCCCAAAGTGAAGATGCAAACATATAATCGGAGACAGCTTGAGAAAGGTTTGCAACACTGTGATACACATCTGGACAAACTGAGCAAAGAATATATATCAATACATTTTGGCAACAAAACTGCTTAAATCATTTGCCAATGCAGCTGCCTTCAAATGGCTGATGAACTTGAAATAAGCTTTAGGATATTTGCAAACCAACAGTTTTAGCTTGACATCCAGTTCCACTGGGTTTTAGGCAATTTGTGTTGAATCATGTAATTGCACCCATCCACATGGTTCAATTTGTGAAGATTTTGGGTGACAAAACTAGTAGATGGTGTCAGTGTCGGCCAAAATAAAGTCGTCGCAGAAGACCACAGGAGTCACAAAGAACCGAATGCAGGCACCTAAAGAAATTATCCAAAACAAATATTTCCAATATTTTCCAACAGCTTACTGGACTTGTTCCATGACCATGGTGAGCTGCCGGCAAGAAGGCCATTGAGAAGTAATTTACATGCTTCAATGATCTTCAGTGTTTGTTTCGCTTTTGTTTGTCAAATCTTGTTTCATTATGTCAGTTTTGTTTTAACTGTTTTTTGTTTTTTGATGTAAATCGACGTTTACTTTCTTATTGTTTGCAGCCAGAAGCCTTGCAGGCTGCTCATTTTTTTGTTTCAGCAAAGGCCCGCCGCAGGCGGCATTTTTGAGTTGTGGGAAAAGTCAAATTTCCTTACATTCTAGGCCAGCCCCTCAGCTAGGAAATAAGGAAAATAGAAAAACAAATAATGAGAAACACATACAAATAAAACATGGCAAAAAAAACATGAGAACCATGCATTTGGTAACAAAACGAAGAAAAAATATAGAAACGTAAAGGAAACCGAGGTACATAGAAACAACCAATGAACGAAAAAAAGGAAAAAACAATAGCAAAAAAAGAAAAAAAACACGAATAGGAGTAAAAAAACAAAAAGCCGAAAAAAAAAAACAACGGAAACAAATAAATGGAACAAAAAATGAAAAGAAAGAGAAAAAAAGGAACGAACAAAAAAGAAAAAACAGGAAACAAAAACGGGAAAAGAAAAAAACAACGAAAAAAAACATACGAAAAAAATAGATGAAAAAAAAGGAAAAAACGGAGAAAAAAAAGGAAAAAAAGGAAAACAAAAGGAAAAAACACGAAAAAAAAACAACATAACAAACGAAATGAAAGCAAAGAAAAAACAACGAAAAAGAAAAAAAATCAACGAACAAAAAAAAAACATGGAGAAAAAAAATTCGGAAAAAAAAACGAAAAAAACAACGCGAAAAAAAAAATAAATAAAAAAAACATGAAAAAAACGAAAAAAAAAACGAAAAACATCGAGAAAAAAATCAAAAAAACCCGCGAAAAAAAAAAAACGAAGAAAATCGAGAAACACAAATCGAAAAAAAAAACGCGAAAAAAAACACCGGAAAAAATCGAGAAAAAAAATCGAAAAAACAAACAAAAAAAATCGAAAAAAAAAATGGAAAAAAAAAGGGCGAAAAAAAAAAAACGAAAAAAAATCTTACTTCAGGCAAAAATACCTTAAATTCAGCCCTAGGGTTGAATTTAAGGATGCTGTGATGACTTTGGCATAGTGAATTGCAAACAAAAAACCCAAAACAATGAAAAAATATCAAAATTACTATGCCAAAAAAAGAAATTTGGCCTACAAAATCCACTCCAAAACCAATATTTCTCATATTTTGGAGCAAAAATATAGGCCAAAGTCATCACAGCATCCTTAAATTCAACCCTAGGGCTGAATTTAAGGTATTTTTGCCTGAAATAAGATTTTTTTTTTTTTCGTTTTTTTTTTGTTCGCCTTTTTTTTTGGTCGTTTTTTTTGTTTTTCAATTTTTTTCTCGATTTTTTCGTTTTTTTTTTCCGTTTTTTTTCTTTTTTTTAACCGTTTTTTTTTTTTTTTTTTTTCGATGTTTTTTCCGTTTTTTTTCCCGATTTTGTTTTCCGTTTTTTCTTCTATCTTTTCGCGTTGTTTTTTTTTCTTTCCGTTTTTTTCTTTTTTTCGTTTTTTTTTGTATTTTTTTTTCTGTTGTTTTTGTTTTCTTTATATTTTGGATTTTCTTTACCTTTCCATTTTTTGTTTCTTTCTTGTTTTTTTTTGGAAATGGTTCTAATGTATTTTTTTTTTTGCTTGTGTGTTTTTTCATTATATATTTGTTATTGTATTTTCCTTATTTCCTTAATCTTACTGGCCGGCGTTGAATTCAAAGAATTTTGACTTTTCCCACAATTATATGTTGCAGGAAAAACATATTTAAAAAGTTTATTTCAGTGTTTTTATTTGGAAAATTCCTTGTGTAAAAAATCAAAAACGGTGGATTTTGCAAAAAGATCAAATTTCATTTTTTTTTGAAAAAAGAAACATGGGAAAAAGTCGAATTTCCTTAAATTCAAGGCCAGCCTTTGAATTTAAGGATTTTGCGGAGACAAAAAAAAACACACAGAAAACATAAACAAGAGAAAAACATAGAATGAAAACGCAAAAAGGAAATAAATGAAAAACTGAACAGAATTAAAAAAAAAAACTAGAAGAATTGAAAACAAGGAAAACACAATACATCTATTTATTGTTTGTTTTTTCATTGCTTTCAGATTGATGGAATTAATGCTTCCTGGGCGACGATCCTATGCTCAAAAATGTCGCCTGCGGCGGGCCTTTGTTAAAGACTACCTTTTGTGAGCAGCCGGCAAGGCACAGGATTCTGGCTGCAAAAAAAAGAAAGTAAAACTGTACTGAAATAAAATAGAAGAAACAAATGAAAAAAATTAACTGAACTCTTGGCCGTGTCCCGAAATTAATTGCGCAACCCTGTCTTCGCAACCCTCTCTTCAGCCAAGAATCCCCTACATTTGATCTTATGAATTTTGCATACTGCATGCACCTTATTTCGGGGGCAAACCTTAAAGACAACCCCGCCACCTTCCACAACTAGATTTTCACAGCTGTCCAATTTTAATTCAATGATTGATTTTTTAGTGGGAAAAATCATACAAATTGATGGTTTGTTTTTGTAAGATCGACTTGGCCTCTCACATTTTTGTGCTGTGGGGCACCGTGCACATAATAAGATTTGTGGGACTTCAACTGGATGAGAATCAACAAATGCGAGACACGCCCAGGGCCTACAGGAACAAAAAACAAGCTGAGAGACAGCGTCTTACTGAACATGGGAATAAATCAATACAACGATCAGACCATAAGTTCTACATGGGCAAGCTGGCAAGCATTGCCCAGTGGGGTTAATTGTGATCTTTATCTCGTGTTCAACTTCGTTATCAAGGTCGGTGTAGCCCCCATACCAATTTCAATGACCGTCAACACTACCTAGCCTTATGCACAACCCCCCGACCTTAAATACAAGCACCCCCCATGAATTACGAAAGTTAACAAATAATTGGAATAACAATATATCTGGTTGGTGGTGACTGGAACCATGTTTTTTTTTTTTTTTTAAAATGACTTTCCAGAAATTCAGTTGGGAATGACTCAGAAAATCCCAACTGGCGAAGTCAGTCATATTTTTCGGAGGGGTTGGTTGAAACCAGCAACCAGATATAGATATATATCCCATCATATAGCCCATATATAACAACTATGATTGGTATTATAGCCACTATTACTATATATAATCCCATCATATCCCAACCAGATATTATTTGATAAAGAACATTTCTTCATTTTCACAACCAACCGCACATTCAGGTGTGATGAAACTGCTGGACAACCAGTTCCAGCCAGCCTTAACCAGGCGTGGGAATCTTTTCACCATGAAAGATGGGTCCCGACTGGAGTCGGGGAGTGAGTCACGCGGCGCGAGTCGCCATGGGCGAAGTCACGACGTACAGAAAATGAAAGATGCGAAAGATCTTAGATGCTATTAGATTCTAATTTTTAGATATCTTAGATATCTTAGATACTCCTAAATCTGCCTGGGAATGACTATAAATTTAATAAACAATCCAGGCCAGGGTTAAACCTTTCTGAAGATGTTCAACCAGGATAGTTTTACCATCGCAGTAAAAAGATGGTCTTTTGAGCGCCGCCAGTTTCATTTTCTCCTATTCAAAATGGAGAAGAATCCGATCCTATCCGAAGAAATACAATGTCAGCGCCAGCACGTTTTTTTTCTTGCATGCGTTTTTTTCAGAAGTTTGATGCTTTTCAGATGGTTAATGGATTTTTTAGATGACAATTTTATATAATTTCAATCAATGTTAATGGTCAATGTTAATGGTCAATTTCAATGTGAAAATTTCACCAGGGTTTTTGGATTGCCATCTCGTGGCTCAGCTTTCGCCAGATTTCGGCCAGAAATGGCGATCTCCGACTATCCGACCATTTTGAAACAAAGTGGTGGTTACTCCACATTAATTTGGGAAAACCCCTTTTTTTGTTGGTAAAACCCAACATTTTCTTCATTAATTATATTGATTCTTGGTCAAGCCATATGTTTCTTCGTTCATTTGTAATGTTAATTGGTTCACCTCCTTATTTTGGAAGGCGTATCAACTATACTTCATTGTATCAACTATTGACAACAATCAGTGTTGATAATGATTGTTCACAAAGTTGCAATGGAAGGCTCACCATCATTATTATTACAGTAACTATCATTATTGGATATTATTAGCTATTCCTGTCAGCTGTACTCCATTGTTATCAATCTAATAGTAGTTGATAGCTCTTAGTTGTTAATACAAGTTGATAAGACTTGATAACACGTAACACGATGTAGAGAAAAATTGCATATTACCATCTGGTTTTTTAACATAGCCATAGAAAATCACCATTTTAAATAAGTAAATCATCTATAAATGGGTCATTTTCCATGGCTATGTTAAATAACCAGATGGTATTTTCAATCCATTAGTTTTTTTTTTCCAATTTTTTAAAAGGCGCAACTAGTCACCACTCTTGAGGATCTTCACCCAGCCCTTCAGGAAACATCCAGCCTTCAGCAAGCTCGGCAAAGTGCTACGGCAACTGGACCTTGATGAGGAGCGAAAAGGAGATGTGGCTTCTAGCAGGCTTCGAACGCATCATTTACTACGGATTTACTATACCATGTGGTAATTAGAAAAAGACAATTATACAGTAATGGGATTTACTACATTATTAAAAACATCTGGTAATTTTCATCTGGTAATTTCCTAGAATTACCGGACAATTAATGGGGACTATCGGGATATTTTTTGGTAGATCAAGATGATTAAAAAGTCCATTTCTGAATCGGAAAAATGGGTCAACATTTAAGACCCTTTAAAAAGCCACAGATGGCGACTAGTGAATTTTTGGTAAGCATCTAATTAAGAGAAGGCTAGTACTCCAAATACCACACTTACTTGTTAGTTGATGTTAGACTTCCAGCTTTAACATTGTGGAAAAGCCTATTTTGTTGATTTTCAGCAAAAGAATGGGGATCGAAATGACAAACCATGATCAGTTGATGATCAAAAAGGGGATTGCACTACCCTGTTCGGTGGAATCCCTATAAACCAACCAGTATTTCTTGGAATGACCAGGGATTTGAACACTGCTCATGTGGGGTCCAAAAACACGGAAATTGATTCCTACAACATACTTTGCGAAGAATGAGCTTTCATGGTGGTATATTTGGGATTCCGCCAGATCATGAATCATGGGGATCCAGGATAGCTCCTAAAAATGGGGGATTCCTCCATAAACCATCGACCATAGAATGGGATAATGTCAACCCTGGATTAATAAACCGCGTTTACGGCTGTTTAATTGGGTGGATACCATTTAAGTATTGGCCTATTTTCAGACACACCGTTGATGCATCCAATTTTGCCATTTCTCTCGAGGTTTTTTTTCCCCATTTGAAAATCATGTCCGACCATAGACACAGCGTTTTTTCATCCCACTGCATTGTTTTGAGGGACAAAACCGCACCCAAGAATGGCTCGTTGGGATAACCGGATAACCATCATCACAGGGCTGCAGCGGGTCCCATAAATTGATTGGTGAAATCGACGGGTACTCAATGTGAAATCCACTAAACATATCTAACATGGAGGGTTTAAACTGGAAAATCATCGAATGACATGGGGAATTTGATCTTGATCTAGCCATGTTGAATGATCATCTGACCATCATACGGATCACCATGATCTAAGCTGGAGAATACTTGATTTTCTTCTTGAGATAGATAGACAGACAGACAGACAGACAGATAGATAGATAGATGGACAGAGATCGATAGATAGATAGATAAATCTGGAATGGAGTCCCGGACGTGTTGAAAAAAGTTTCCAGATTCCACTAGCTCTGTGCAGGACTCTGGTGATGCTTTAGAAGACTTCTGAGAAAGCACATCGACCTATTTGTCTGATGACTTCAGCGACGGCCCACTGCCAGAAAGGACTGTAACAGGGACATTTGAACAGCAAACAAGGGGGAAATGGTAGCTATATGTAGTTATATGAATCGATGATAACGGGGATTTAAATTGTAAATGACTTTTTTCCATTCCACAGCTATTAAGGCGGACCTTGTGCTGATTCCATGTCTAGATTTCTCGATTTCTTGGGGAGTTACCCTAGATGTTCCCACCGCCGAGTTTAGGATTTCCCAGCCATATTCGATTGCCGGAAGGTAACCACATGATATCTGGATAAACTATAATGACCTATGGGTATACGGTAGACTCAGCAACACAACTGCGATGAAGAGCTCAAAGACACCGCGCCAGGCGGTGTCTGATCGAAACCTCGACAATCCGTTTTGCTTTTTCTGGGTTTGTTCAGTTACATGGTTTGGAATGAATGTTAATGGATATGTCAGTGGATATTTGGAAGTAATAATGTTACATAATGGATATGTTACATGTGGATATGTTACATCTGAAAATAGATATCAATTAATGGATATGTTATATACATGTGGCATATGTGAACTAATCCGGGTTTGTTCAAGGTCATCCTTTGAATCAACATGGAAAACTCCTCACTGAGGAATCGATTTCTAGGGAATATTTTTCGTATTTCTTTGGAAGCCCTTAGGCAAATCCAAGTTTTTGTGTTGATGATTGATACCGTCTGGCAAACTAGCTATAGAATATCACCATGTTTGGTATGTCATCCTAAAATGGAGGTACTGTACCATATTTTGGGCCATATTTTCTGGGGATATTCCCTTACATAGTTCCTTACATAGGCCTTATATATGGTAGGTACCTCCAATTTAGGTTCCTGAGATGGCCAGTGATATATAAATGAAACATGGTCCATAGCAAACTGTTGGTTTATTGGATGGTATGCCTAACTTTCCTAATTTTTTGGTACTACCCCGGCTGTTACGGTGAATCTCTGAATCCCAAAACCATGGGTTTCTCCATGCAAAAACACCGTTTTAACTTGGATGATTTTGCACGGACTGGTGTGGAATGCAGCCTTGCAAAGACAACCCTTTTCTTTTCTCACATGTCTTGGATGCGGGAAACCTGAACAAACATCAACTTGAACCCTGGGCCCACTCAACTCTTGCAGAGCTTGTTACCCCGGATGCGGGTTAAGAATGCAAAACCACACGACACGCTTTTTTTTTTGGTACAGCTTGAAACCGGAGTTCTAAGAAAATCAGATCCCCTGTGTAGAGGGATCCCCCCATTGTTCAAATCCCACTCCAGGACCGACGAAGACGAAGAACTCTGAGAAAAAATCTGCTGCGCACTTTGGGATCATGGCATTCCACTTTTTTTTTTAAAACATATTTCCATATTATATGGGATAATCCTTCCCATTGACTCGTATTTTTCAGAGGGGTTAAAACCATCAGCCATCAGGAGAACAACATCCCAAGCGAATGGTAATTCATTCTGTTGGGTTCATCAATGTTGGGTAATCTGTCAGATATATCTATAGTTTTCATGGGCTTATAAATTTGTAGGCCATTTATAAGCCACTATGATTAATCTGGGTAAACTTGATCACGACCGATGCCTGTTCTCCCGAACCCTGGACTCATGGTAAATTTATGGGACATCATTCCCAAATGGCCGAACTATTCAGTTTAGTGAAATATGATAATTTGCCCAGATCAATGTTGGAGGACGAGCTCTCAGGGCGAGATGAGCAATTATACAACTTGGGTCATTCACCAGAATTAGAAAATTGCCGCAGAATGGTCCAAGATTTTCCCATGTAGAAGGGATAGACATATTTTATGCATCTTCTGGGATTTATCCCAATGTCCCAGTAATTCATTTTTTCCCATAATCATCCCAAGTATATGCTGATAGTGCTATGGATATACTTGGGATGGGAAAAAATGGATTACTCCCATCAACATCCCAAGCATGTCCAAACCCTCTGGTAAACTAACAGTTTGCTATTGAACATGGCTCAGTCGAAATAGTGGATTTACCCATTGAAAATAGTGGATTTTCCATAGTTTTTTGTATGTTTACCAGAGGGTAAACCTCCATTTTCCTATGGTTTTCCTATGGTTTTCCCATTAAAACCTCCATTTTCCTATGGGATTTACCCCATTTACCCGGTAAATTATATCCCAAGAAATCCTGATAGCGCTTTTCAAATGGAGGTACCACCAGTTATCATCCAGCTTATTGGACTATGACTTCATAAATGGATGAGAATCATCTTTATCCACCATCATATCCCATTACAATCCATATTATCCCATATAATCCCCATATATATATATTATATATATATATGTCGAAGCATGCCACTTATCCAGCTTGGGGTCGACATAACATGTGTCTATTCGCAGGGACCTTTGTGCCATTCGAGCTAGAAAAGAGCCCATTTGCACCTTCAGGTGAAGGGTCGTTCCTCCGCAATTGGTAGCGGAGCCCGGTGCGCCGGGCTCCCGCTGATGGTTGGCCTCTAGGAAGAGGCGTCTTTCGAAGCTGCCACGTGGTGGTCCAGGGACATCATAGATGGCGACATCCAGTTCCAGTTCCACAAATGAGACTGGGCCGATGCGAACGTTTTCTGGTGAGTCGGAATGCGGCAGAGAGTACCGTCGCTGGAAAACATGGGTGTTGAACAAGATGGTCACCATGGACAAGCTAGCAGAATCGTCACGAGGGGCTTTCATCATGACACTTCTGACTGGTAAGGCCTATGAGGCCGTGGAACATCTGGAGTTTACAGAGTATCACAAGAAAGATGGTGATGCTCTTATCTGGAATCTGCTTGACGCGCGATTTCCCAAACTGGAAGTGGTAGATGAACTGGCTGAAACTCTGAATGAGGTCTTTACCCTTCGCGCCAAGGAGGGTGAGACCATGAAGCAGTGGACAGCCCGAGCCACTGAACTGTTTGACAGATGTAGTAGAAAAACCAGTGTCTCGTTTCCAGAAGAGGCTCGTGGATGGATTCTGCTGAACCGGTCGATGCTGACCGATGAACAGAGGGCTGTTGTGGTGTCGCGCTCACGGGGAGATTTGAAACGTGAGTCCATCGCCTCAGCCTTGAGGTCATGCTACCCAGATCTGGTTATTCGCAAACGGGGTGTCGCCTATGTCGAGGAAGCGTTAGCTGTCCAGGGACCTCGAGAAGATGAGATCGAAGATGATGATACCGATTTTGATGACGTCTGCCAGTTTCTGGCCGACCACAACGTTGAGCCAGAGATCCAAGACACAGGAGAAACGTTCCACGAGGACGACGTAGCAGAAGTTCTAGCCGCCAGCTGGAAAGATCGACGACAAGAGCTCAACAAGCTTCAGAAGAGTCGACAGTTTCAGAAGGCGAAAGATGTTCGCCGTTCGTTCCGAGTGGAGATCGAGGAGTTGAAGAAGCAGACTACCTGCAATCGTTGCGGCCGTAAAGGCCACTGGGCCAGGGAGTGCAAAGCTCCAGCCTCCAAAGGTTCCGGCAAGTCGACAACACCCTCGTCGACATCTGGAGCCGCTGTGGTGCAAGATGAGCCGGACTTTGTAGCCATGGCCGAATTGCACCTGACCATGATTGAGAAGCTGCGACAGAAACAGGCGAATGTTTCCCCGTCCACTGACCCGGCAGAGGTGATGCTGATTTCCAGTCCTGGTTTCGGTGTCTTAGACAGTGGATGTGGCCGCACAATCATTGGCCGTGACACTCTGGAAGAATTCCAACAACTATGGGAGCAACAAGGGGTAGTGATTCCTCCGTTGGTCAATGAAACCCACCAGTTTCGTTTTGGAAACGGCCATGTTGAAACGTCTTCCCATTCCATTTGTCTGCCTGTTTGGATTGCTGGGAAGCGGGGCGTGATTCGAGCTGCGGTAGTGAATGGAGCCGCTCCTCTGCTTATCAGTCGCTCTGCCTTGAAGGCGCTGAGAGCGTCTCTGGATTTTCAACATGATCGGCTTCAGATCTTTGATGGGATCTCGATTCCGTTGAAGTGCAACAGTGCAGGTCAGTATGTGATCAACCTGATGGATCGAAATGTGAAGGATGAGCAGCAGGTATCTGGATTTTCGGAAGTGATGCTCACCGAGATCAAAACAAATGTGGATGAGGTCCCATATGAACCTGCAGCGGATCCCAACGATGGAAGTACGTCCTCAGAGGAGTCAAGTGATTCTCCTCTCCATGAGGCGAACCCCGATTCTGCGGCGATGCCTTCCTGCTGGGTTCAGGACAACTGTGGGAGTCAGACTATTCCATGGGTATCCAGAGACGGACCAGCCTGGTCAACCGTCTGTAAGCGGGTAGTAATAGATGGGATAACTAAGAGGGTATTAGCATCGCATGATTTCCATAACCATGCTAATCAGCGAGCCACTCTTCACCCATTGCCTGCAAATTCCGGATGCGTCATCACCAAGTTTTTTTTCATGTTGATCCACGGATTGAATCCCATGATGCCACAAGCATGATTGACACGTCCTGGAGACCGTCAGTGAAACAGAGTCGTCAATTGTCGTCTCAGGTCAAGTCATGCCATGAAGCCTTGTTGTCTCAGGTCAGAGTGTCTCCATGTTTGGTCCAAGAGGTGTTTTCTCCTCCAAGGTTTGTCCCGTCAGCTGAAGCAGTCGGCATGCAGGGTTTTTCCTATGACCTAAAAACTGGATATGATCTGTCCACCGCCGCCGACAGGAAACGTGTGGAAGATGCTCTGGAGAAGTCGCCTCCTGAACTTCTGGTTTTGTCTCCTCCCTGCACAGACGAAGGCGGGTGGTTTCACTTAAATAGCACCAGGTGGGACCGTATGGAATACCTGAGAAGGGTTGCTAGGAGCCGTAGTTATATCAGGTGGTGTTGCAAATTGTTTCGAGCTCAAGCTGCAAGAGGTAAGCGAGCGATGTTCGAACATCCAACCGGAGCCAAAACATGGACTTATCCTGAAGTTCAGTCGTTGTGCCGCCAGTTTTACACTTGCAAGCTGCACATGTGTAGGTATGGCCTAAGACTTCCTGGCAGTGAGAGTTGCATCCGGAAGAGCACCCGTCTCCTTTTGACTCATGAGGATATGCAGAGCCTGTCTAAGTTGTGCCCAGGTACAGGTGAGCATTCAAAACATGATGTAGTCGCCGGTAGCTGGCAGGGTGTTCCTTCAGTGAGTCAGTTTGCAGGTCAGTATCCTCCAGAGTTTGTTGAAGCGGTACTGCAGACAGTCCCAATGTATCGTGATGCACGCCCGTCCGAAGTGATGGTAGTTGTAGATGACACCGTTCCGCCTGAACAATGGGACTCTGTGCTTGCCGTAACCAGCCTGTCCGAGAAAACTGATGAAGAGCTTTTGCCCATCATCAAGAAGTTGCACCAGAACTTAGGTCACCCTCCCAATCATGACCTTATCCGTGTTTTGAAGCATGGTCAGGCTAGTGAACAAGCCCTTCGGCTGGCCAAAGATTTTTCCTGCGACTTCTGCAAGACTCAGTGCCGTCCATCCGTTCCGTTGCCTGCCCAGCCACGTCGAATCTCCGAAGTGAATCAGTTGGTGGGATTGGACATCAAGTACTTGAAAGGTTGGCGCCCAAATCAGAAAGTTAAGGCTTTAAACTTGGTCGATTACGCTAGCGGATATCAACGAGTCATTCCGTTTTTCGAGCAAGAAACAGCCCAACTCATTCGCAAGATGCTTGAAGAGCACTGGATTTCTTGGTTAGGCCCTCCTCGGGAACTGATCCTGGATGCTGCTAGAACCAACCTTGGTGAAAATATGGCCACTCCCTCAGAGCTTCAGGGTACGGAGATTCGCCCAATTGCCGCTGGCGCACATTGGCAACTTGGAAAGGTAGAGTCTCATGGCGGATGGTTTGGTCGTTTGGTGGAGAAACTTGTGGATGCTCACCAACCTTCTAACAAAGAGGACTGGCTGCAATGTGTTGTTCATGCTCACATTAAGAACCAAATGTTGCAGGTACATGGTTTTTCTCCTCATCAGATGTTGTTTGGCCGCAATCCCAACATTCCTGAAGACCTGCTGAGTGAACCCTTGAATGTGATTGCAGCCACTGCTTCCCTGACAGAGCAGGGGATCGCAAGAGCTCAAGCCATGAGAACCACAGCCCGGTCGGCCTTAATTCAAATGCAGGATGACCGAGCGTTGCGTGTTGCCCTCCTGGCCCGTCCGAGAGTGTCCAGAGAGTTTGCCCCTGGAGACCTAGTTGCTTATTGGAGAGACCAAAAGTGGATTAAGGGTAAACTTCAAATCGGGGGTCAATGGTGGGGTACAGCAGTCGTCCTGGGTAAAGTTGGC